TTCAGGTTTAACGGCATTGTTCAACCTTTAGATACTTTAATTTTGTTCTTCTTGTGATACTTGTTCTACATGTATATGCAAGTAGGTATATTTTTATAACTTATTTGTATATTCTTAAAATATATTCTTATCTAGAGCACTTAAGCCCCATTGTATTTATAGTTGTATATCTTTTATCGGTTCATATACTTAGTTCACTATAAACAATGCTCTGATACCAATCTGCCACACCCCAAAACCGGAACATCGGAAACGTTCGGGTTTGGAGAACGTCATGTTTAGTATCGCAAGACATGTATCATAGTAAGCTTGTAATAAACAACCATTTCATTAGAAAGAAAGTGTTTACAATGTGTCTGTTCACAAAACATAGAATACATAAACAAATAACAAAACAATACTTGAAGCTGTTATGCTCCAACTTCTAAGTTCCCAGTACAAGTACCTGTCTAATAGTCTCCTGAGAATACAAGTTATTTGAAAGAGTTTATCAACAGTTAAGTTGGTAAGTTCATAAGATTTTAGTGATGTAAGTATGTTGTGGAAAGTTGTTGTAAAATGTAGTTGAAAAACGTAGTAAATTGTAAGTTTTGTTTAGAAAAGTTCGCCTGTTCCTCTAGAAAGTCCTATGTTTCCAACTTTAATGAAAGATAAGCAAAAATGACTCTACAATCCTTTCTATGAGTACTAAATGGATACAAGTTATATAAGACTCAGAGTAAACAAACAATTGATTGTGCGTATCTGCCCTAAGGCGGAAAACACACATCCCATTGATTGTTTGATCATTGTTGTATATAACCCTGGTGCATTCACTTGCTACTCATGGAGTTAATTGTAATAGTTCCTTTATATTTGATGGAAACATTCTTTAAGAAAACTCTTATTTCTTATTACAAAATGGTGACCACTATGACTACTTGTATAATTACTTTGTTTATACTGGCTATATATAATCTAATCTCGGATAGATAGTTAATTGAGTGAATCTACCCTAAGCCCACAACCAAACAAGGAACAGGAAGTAAAGTGGAAAGCACACATATAACTACCTATTGGGTATTAATGATATATAATAATCATGTCTAAACTAAGGCATTATAGATTTAATCACCTAAGGTCCTTTAAGTTTATATTGGTTTACTCAAATGGATTAAACCCTTTACTGGGAAGTTTCTAGTTTTGAATACCACAAGTTCTGATTTGAAAAGTATGAACTACTAGAAAAACAACCTTTTACAACGCTCATTGCGCATCGTAAAACGCTCAGACGACGCGCAAATGCGCATCAAGAAAGGCCCTGTCATAAAGAGAGACGACGCGCATTTACGACGCTCGGTTATGACACGCAATGCGTATCAAGGAAGGCCCTATCATAAAGGAAGACGACACACATTTGCATGTTGTAACCTTACGACAAGCGTGTTTATGACACGCATTGCGTATCAAAGAAGCCCCTGTCAAGAAAGGCCATGTCATAAATGAAGATGATACACATTTTTGCGTATTATAATTTTAAATGTTCTAAAAAATATATTTATGAATTAATTAATTTTTAAATTAAATTTGCATTTAATGTCTCATAATAGAAATAAAATATCATATAAAAAAATACAATCCATTGCATAAAATTTAGTGCTATACAATTCTATTTCTTACAATATCTAAATTTGCATCTAATCTACTCTGTACACCAAATTCCAACTAAGTAAAGTTGCATCTTGCCTTTCATAATTCTTTAGGAATAATGTTCCAAGCAACTGATTATATGGATAAGCAGTTGTACATTGGCCCATCTCACTCAAGAATGACTTAGCCAAATTCAACTTCAAGTCTTTACTGCATCATTGCAAGACAAAACAAAAAATATATATCAAAAAATGATTTTTTTTAGTTTTATATTATAATTATGCTAGAGTACTAGATACATGAAGAACCATTTGTTAGCTCTAGAACACTTTTTGAATCTGAACCTTGTCTTTCATCACTAACACCAGCACCATGTCTTAACAAATATATGAAGTTTGAAGATGAAGATATACCTTATATGGTTTTGGACGTCCTAATTCCTGCTTAGAAAATCATTTGTTATAAAATAGTATTAGGACTATAAAAACAATATAAGGAAACAGGGATAAATTATGTAATTAGATCATTATAAATTTTTTGACCTTTTAATAAAACCATTTCTCCTGCTTACCTGGTTTTGATATAGGATTAAAATAAATAAAAGCATAAAGTATTTATCGATTTAGCCACTGAACAGTCTCTACAATAATCATAAAATAAATAAAAGTTTAGTTGATATAATGAAAGTGTGTTTTTCTTTTGCTTTTTTTTTGTATTTTAACATTTTCCAAAGCCAAGTAATTAGAGAAATCGTATTCTTAAATGGTCAAAAACAGTATAATGGTTTAATTACTATAAAAAATTAGTTAAGTGGTTAGGTGAACATCATTAAAAGTATGTTTAAAGCTAATAAGATCTTTTGAATCATAAAAAAATACTATTTTTTTAGTAGCTTAAATGTTTTAACTACTTACAGCAATTGTTTCAGCTGTGAGACCATCCTCTTGCCATGGGTTTTTTTATTGTGGTGTCCATGGGTGCAACTCCATCCAAACAAAATACACACTGGAAATAAACAAAAAGAAGTAATAGTTCCCTAATAGCTTAGAAACAGAATCAGGAAAAGTAAACAAACAAAAACCGAAACAACAGCACTCTGTACATCAAAACCTTGCATTAATTCCTGTTAAAGAAAAGTGTAAATAAGTCTTTTAGCCAAATAAGGAAAAGTGTTTTACTATTTTTTACCTCTGAAACAACAGCGCACTCTCTACCCATCTTCTAGTGATTGCAGTAACTCGTAGTTTCGGTTGCCCATCAAAACTCTGGTATCTGTACCAAAATGACCGTTTTACCCTTACATTCTCAAACAAACATATTTAAAGTGGGGAAAAAAGAAAGGTGATTACCTTGTGGTGGTTTGTATATACAACTATGGATTTACATTTCCTGAAGGATCTTTATCGCTTGATGATATATCAAAGAAAACAGTCAAATAAGTGTCTTTATCAAGTTCACGTAGCTTCCATGATGTGGTGTTCCATTGACCTATCACTGTGTTTTCAACAACATGTCCTTTCTGCAACATAAATAGCCAAAAAAAATTATATACAAACCGGTAAAGATTAATGAACAATTTAGTAAATGACTAAATTTCCACCTTATCCAAAGATGTGCATGGTCCTATGATCCTGATAGCTTCATTTTATTTACTTCTTTTTATAGTTTATTTTAGCATATTTCATTCATAATTTAGATAATTTCCATGCATATTTTCCTTTTTGTTATTTTATGACTATTTCGGGTACTCTCGAATCTTGTGAGCATAATTGCAGGTTTTCGGGTCTAGCGGAGCGGGAGTGTTCGGGACGTATAGGAGGCGATGAGATTTGGTAGACAAAAATGACGTTGGGCTTGATGGGTAGTGGAGATGATGCATAGAGTGATCTTGATGATTATTTGAAGACTTGGAGAGAAATAAACTTTAAATTTGCAAGATGTGGGGGAATATTCAAGCGTACGTAAATTATTAATCGGGCGAGTTCACGACCTTTGGAGGACTTAGAGAGGTCAAATTGGGCTTAAAATGAAGAAAAACTTGAAGAAAATGGGCTAGGAGGTGATTGGATTCGACCTGGGCCAAGTGGGCTAAGCTATGGAGGCCCAAAACCTCAAAGATGCTACATCCAGGGACCACCCGCGCAACCCACCCGCGCAAGAGCACGCGGGTCGCGCAACCTCCTGCAGGGGCAGTTTCGGAAATTCTTCTTTTGAGCTATTTGAGGAAGGTTGGTGCCCATCTTTTGCATACTCGTGGACATCTGATTTTTGGAGATTCTCTCTGGAGTTTTGAAGACTTTTGAAGGCCAAGAACCCTTGAAGAACATCATATTTTTACCTCTTGATTCTTGCTTAATGTTTGGTACAATTTTCTCTAACTTTGTTTCTTTGGGTTCAGCCATGCTTGGCTAAGCTAATCTTGGTTGACTTTTGGTTAATCCTTTGAACTTTTGTTGAATGTTGAAGAATCCATGAACATGTTCTTGAATCTTTATGGGAATGTTTTGTGTTTTAACATCTTATCATTACTTGTATGTTTTAGTTCATGAGTTTAAATGTGTTTGTGGTGATTAGTTGGCTAATTTCTTGATTAAGTAAAGGATCCTCAAATTAGCAAGCAACAAATGATTTTTGTGTTGTTTTTGCTTCACACAATCATAAAAACATTTCCTCCAACATGGTGGTGAAAGCATTTGACCCCTCTTGGATTTGGTGACTTTTTGGTTCTTAATGCTATCTGACTTTCACTAATTACATGCTATTTGGAATTAGTGATTTTGACTAAGGAAATTGTTATGAGCTTCTCTAGCCATTTCAACAATTAAGAAAAGTCTAGGTAATCTCAAGCTCCTTGGATTACTATAGCCAAATTAAGGATTTAAATCAAAGTATTGCACCATTGGATTCTAATGATATGTTCATCAAAAGTCAAAGTGAGGAAACTTTAAGTCAACCTTCTCTCCCTTATTGATTTTACATCAAATTCTTATTTTTGTTGCAATTGTCTATTTAAATCATAGTTAATTCTAGTTTGTTTCAAGTATTTCAAAACATCAAAACCCCCATTTTTAATTTATTGTCATATTCCAAGTATTTTACAAAGAGATTTTTCATAGAGTTATCAAATTGAACCAATCTCCGTGGATTCGATCCCTTTACCACTATACAGTATTTTAGTGTGTAATATTTAGGGTTATTATTTGTGTTGGCCTCGACAACCACCAGATCCCTTGAATCTTGATATCCATTAAACATGTAATTTTAAGTGTGCCACTGAAAGTAATATAATCACAATTCACAAATTCATTATACATTTATAGTTATACATCAAATAATATGATGATGAATGATACTATATTCATCTTATGTACTCACTTATGAGCAAGACCAAGAGACTCTTCTCCTTTCTCAAAAACATGTTTGAATGAATCTTTAAAAATCGAATGACCAAAACTTTCAGCTAAAACAACGATTCCACCAGTTCTTTCAATAATCATCTTCATTTCTGCAACTCCAACCTAAGAATATAAAAATGATTCAGTTAAGAACATAATGATGGGATGAATAGCATAGTTAAGAGAATGAATGTTGACCTGGTCAAGGGTAGAAGCAAAAAGATCCAAAACATAACCCTAGCTGACCATTTGCTTTGCAAGTTCTTCATAAAACTTAACTACGTTTGTAAAATACAATGCTGAATCTTTGTCCAGATCTTTATGTGAACGAACAGGATCTGAAAGATCTTCGGAGATAATCAAGAAGATTGAAGGTAGATGGAGGTTTGGTTTAATGGGAAGTAGAAATGATTCAATAGAAAAATCAATATCAAAATGGCTTACTGAATCCAGATTCAAGCTCTCCAAATTTATCAAACCTGCATTTGTAAAAGTTTGTGTGTATGAAATTTTGGAAAATACACATGAATGTTAAGTACATATGAATGATAAGAGATTTCACCTTTTAGGTGTGACAAGACAGCATCTGATATATCATTGAATCCCAAGTTCAGCACTTTTAGAGACTTCAATTCTGTATAAGTAGACGTCTACAGTTATAAATTAATGATTTTGAAGATAAATTAATGAAAAAAAATAAATATAAGGATATAGATCCTTGAAAACTTATCACACCCATCATCAGAGATATTAGATCTGCTTACATTCAGAAAAAGTAGAGCAACAAGATCTACATAAAACAAACGAGTTAAATAAAAAAAGTCAAACATCGAATTGTATAATGAGATTACAAAAAAGAAAATACAATGAGAACCTGAAAGTGAATCTAGGCATGCTGCAGTAATAGGGCAACGTTCTATATTCAGCAATGCAAGCTTGTGTAAACCTGAAAAAAGAAAATTTACTTAGATTTTAATTTACATAAAAAAAATATCTTCCACTAGAAATAATTCAAGTGACCTTTCAAGAATGTGACACCATTATCAGTGACCTTGCTGCTGGAGATTTGTAATTCTTCCAAGTTTCTTAGGTCTGAAACATAAACAACAATGAATCATTAGCATAAATGATACACCATATTTAAATTCATTCAAGTTTATAATAAAGTTTATCTTACAAACCTACCTGAGAGAGGCTTCATATCAGCATCAGTAATGCAATTACAACAGTTCATATTAAGTGTCAAGTTTAAAAGACCTGGAAAAAAACAATAATATTAAGATTCTTTCCTTCAAATTCAATAAAGAATCATTACAAGAGATTACCAGTAATTCATCCAAGCCCAACATCAGAGATATGTTCACAGAAATTAAGGTTTAAAGCCTTAACATTCTTGCATTCTTTAATATGTAACGGACCAGAATTTGATGTTTTCATTAAAAGGAAATGAAAATAAGTCATATAAGTGAACAAGGGTATAAAATTTTAACTAAATAAATTAAAAGAATGGACCTTTTTTGAAAAGAGATATAGAGCACAAGCTGAAGGATCTTGAGATAATACTTCAAGAACTAGTAGATTATAACAAAGAGACTTTCCACTTGATGTCATGGTTGAAATAACAACATTCTTTCCAAAAATGGAAGCCCGAATTGACTCTGCCTAAAATACCATAAGAACAAAATAATAATAATAATAATATAATTTTAACAATAATAATGGATTTTTGGATAATTACAAATGAAGATACCCGGTGGCTATATAACTTTGAGACACCTGAACATTTCAATGCAGATTTTGTTCCTTCAGAAAGATAATCTGGAATCTTTACAAAATTGGCTATCCGAGAATTAATCTCTTCAATATGAGCTATCTGAAATAGTGGATTAAATAATTGGGGTACATAACAAGGGCAGATTTGTAAATTTGTAACGATAAAGAATAAAGATGACACCTGTCCTTGGGAACCAAGGCCTGTCTTCAGATGCTCAACCATTTCTGTGGGAAGCAAAGGATTTGTTTCCTGTAAAGGAAAGCATTAATGGGAAATGAATACAAATAATAGAAACAAGAAATGTAAACAGAATTTCAAGAAAAACTGAAAAATGGAACTCAAAGATGACACCTACTTTACATTATACTTCAGGTGAAAAGGAATCTGAGGGTTCAGACATGCTTCTTTTTGTTCTTTTAGCATCATTTTTAATTTCTTTAGGATTTCCTTCAGTTGCATGTAGCAAAAGATCATTTAAAGATAATGACTTGATTGTCTCTTTACCCTTTTTCCCTGAAGGAAAACATTTTGCATATCAACTAAGTAAAATGTTATGAACTTTTGTTAGAGAGAGAACATGGAATATTTACACATACCATAAATGATTTAACAACTGCACATAAATCTGCTTTGAAGGAACTTTCTCTTTTTTTCAAAGCATTAACTACTCTAGCAGTAGACATCTTTCTCTTACCTAAATAGAAACAAAAGCAGTTAAGTTTGCTGTGAATGAAAATGTAACCACTGTGGACTTGAGATCAAATAAAACCATCATAAAACGATTAGGTATACCTTTAATTTGGTATTTAAGATCTGATTTTCACTTAATGACAACAATGGAATTGTTTGACCTTTTACCCTCAGCATCATTGTCAATAAATTGTATAACCTGCAAAAGAAAAAGAGACATGTTCTGAGTGAACAATGATACAGTTCTAGTAAGTACCTAACTGTTTCTTTTTGCCTTAATAAATGGTATAACCTGCAAAAGAAAAAGAGACATTTCGTGCGTTTCCACCATTTGCCATAGTGTGTAGAGTGTAATCACCCAGGATAGGACTAGTACTATGATTCCAAAGCCCCTGAATCAAACAGATTGTATATTATGAAAGTGGATTTTGTGTGGGGACTTTCATCGTACATGTTGTGTGCATCGTTTAAACCAAAAAAGAATCTTACAGAAAGGACTTGGATTGAAGGAAAAGTGATACCATCCGAGTTGAGATAGGGTGTAAGGAAGACTAAGGACACCGACACCAACCATGTCGGTGAAATTGTGAAAGGCTGAGTACCACCACTTTGCGTTTCTGGAGGATGTCACTGGAAATAAAAAACCATTTGAGTCTTTTGCACTACCAGGCTCTAATTCCATGATTTTAACAAACTGATTCTCGGATTTGACCATGAGGAAATCATTTGAAGCTTAATGATGGTCTCTTACCTATTGTAGCGAAGGAGATGCAGGCAGAGTCTCGTTGACGGGTGGCTCGTAGGTCAGCGATGGTGTCAGAGAGGAGAGATGGGTAGGAGGAGAAGGTGTTGAGGAAAAGATTGTAGAGGAGGGTGGAGGAGCAGAGTTTGTTTCCTAAATGTAGAGAAAGAGAGAGAGAGAGAGAGAGAGAGAGAGAGAGAGAGAGAGAGAAGAGAGACAGAGAGAGATAGAGAGAGAGAGAGAGAGCGTATGAGAGATGAGTGGGAGATGATAGTGGAGTAGAGGTGACTGGCGAAGGATGGTTCAGATTCGGTGTCACGGCGAGCTTCGGATTTGATTTCGTTCTAGACCCAGTCGCATTCGTTTTCTCCGCCGTTAACGGCGGTTTGTGGAGACGATGATGACATCGTGTACTGCGATGTGGCATTCTGATCTTGAACTGACATCTTGAGATGGCGGAAGTGTTTGCATAGGCACTTCGAACTCTTAAAGCTTATGAGGTTCGATGCTGGTGGTGGCGGCTTAGGGCTTGCAAATAGGGGGAGAGAGAGAGAGAGAGAGAGAGAGAGAGAGAAAGAGAGTAGAAGACGAGCTGCTTAAAGGATTATTAGGGTTTTTTGGCAGAGGATTTTAGAAGGAGAAGAAGGAGATGCATCAGGCGGGGTGTTTAGTTTTTTGGGATTTCATTCCCTTCCTTAAAAAAATATAAAGCGACACATTTACACGACACCCTTTTTTATGAAAGGTGCCCTCCGTGTTTTTAATTTTTTTTGTTGGACACTAATTTTACGGCACGCACAAATGGTTGTCCTCTATCCTTCAAAATTTGCAAAACTAACATTAATTTTTAGGGCACGCACAAACGCGCGTCCTCTATCAGCGACTATCATTGTTTTCACGTCATTAAAAGGCTGTTTTCTAGTAGTGTTGTGAATTGACTTTGTGTCCTATGAATTGACCCATACTTGGTACCCTTATGTTGACTTAATGTATACGAAACATATATATATATATATATATATATATATATATATATATATATATAGAATCGAATAGATGATAGACTGGGTGAATCCATTCCAAGCCTACAACCAAACAAAGAACAGGAAGTGAAGCAGAGAGCACCCATTCTATTATCTGTCGGATCCTATTGATATATATATATATATATATATATATATATATATATATATATATATATATATATCTGTCGGATCCCAATGTAGCTACCAGCAATTTGTCGGATGGTTAATCCACTTTATATCCGTACACAAATTCATATTCTCCCTCCAGGAGTCTCTGCTTGCCAACTACGACACAGCCGTTGACGACTATGCCAAAGAAGTAGTACCTTACTGATGGGTTTTAGCCATAAGAACTTTCCTATGTGCGCATGCAAAACCCTATTGCTTGGATCTAGGCTTTCTAATAAACATGCTTTTGAATCCAAGATTTCTAATGGCTAATTAGGTTAAACAACAATATTAAAACAGATCTAGAATCATACCTTTGAATTCCTTGTTGATCTTGTTTGTCTTGGAGCTTCTAGAGTCACAATTGTCACTCCTCTAATGGCTTACAAACACCAATAGCAAGCAAGATGATTTAGGAGAGAGGAGAGGGGAGGAATTCGACCAGAGGTTCCTTGCTTAAGGTTGTGTGTCGAATTCCCTCATCCATAGGGTCTATTTATACTATTAGACTCCTTAAGGGTTTCACCCTAAACCCTAATTGGATAATCTTCTCTTAAGGCTATCCAAATCCATTCCATAGATAACCCTATGGACGATTTGAGCTATCCTAAAGCTCTTAGAATCCGTCCAAGGTGTATCCTAATGGATTTATAGTCTAAAGTCTAACTATCAAACAATTGACAGTTTATACCCTCTTATTTAATTAATCTCTTTAAGTCACCAAATTAATACCAATTAATTTATGACTTATATTAATCAAATAGCTAAATATTATTCCTTATAATATTTACTCTCTCTTAATAAATCATCCTTCAAGTTGCTATGGTGAAGGCAACCCAAAAGGACCATGCACCACCGAATATAGTTATAGCCTTAGACACTATTCCAACAGTCTCCCACTTGGATAAGTCTAGTAACTATACAAGTACAATACGGTTTGCAATCGTAGCTCTCAAAGACGCTGTCAACTCTGATCTAATCAATCTTGTCCTTTAGATAAGGGATCGTACAGTCCTCTGTTAGATATCATGCTGACAATCCTATGGAATGGTTAGTCTAGCATTTAGATTTCTCGATCTCCGATTTATTTGACATAGAACTTAATCGAACACATCAATTCAGTTCTGACCGGGCCCGGCACATAAGTCAAATCAAATCATCGAGTGGCCAAGATATCTCTTCTACCCTCTTAGGATAAAATTTACAGATAAACTTCGACTTATATGCATTTACTTATTCATTAACCAACTATACACAACAATGCGTTTTATAACATCAAGTTACTGATGCGTTTTCGCATTATCAATGCACAATCAATTAACAAATAATAAACCATATATCTAGGTTTTAAGACCATATGATATTATCGTCTTGCGATCACCTTTTATATCGTATTCCATAAAGTGATTCCAGCAAGCGCGGGTTTATTCCAATGCTCAAAACCAGTTCATAAGCACTCATGAACGTTGCAGCAACCCTTGCTATGTCTAACACCATTTAGACACTCTACACACCAATTCATGACAATCTTCATTCATATCTACTCCCAACATATGAACGATTGTGGACCATTTGAATAATTCGATTATTCCTAATAAACTCAATTATTCTGGAAGTCAAAACATGCAAAGTGAAACAATAGTTAAACAACTAACATGTGACAGTAACTTTACTCATAAATAAAACTCCTTTATTTAATCATCAAATGTTAATTACATTTATCTATTATACGTTTCTAATACTATCTAATCTATGCTAATATCATCCTTCAGCCCAATACTCCTAGCATGCTGCAAGTGCTTAACCCTACTCAGTCCCTTCGTAAGCGGATCTGCTGGGTTATCTTCTGATGATATCCTCTTCACTACGAGTTGTCCTTCTTCTACACGATGTCTAATGAAGTGATATTTTCTGTCGATATGTCGAGATCTACCATGATCCCTCGGTTCCTTGGTCAAGGCAACCGCACCTTCGTTATCACAGAAAATCTCCATGGGCTCCTTTATGGCCGGCACAACTCCAAGATCACCGATGAAGTTCTTCAGCCATATTGCCTCCTTCGACGCTTCGCTCGCTGCGATGTACTCTGATTCGCACGTTGAATCAGCTACGGTTTCCTGCTTGGAACTTTTCCATGTCACTGCTCCTCCATTTAGGGTAAAGACCCAGCCCGACTGCGAACGGTAGTTGTCCCTGTCGGTCTGAAAGCTGGCGTCACTATACCCTCGCACCTTCAAGTCATCACTCCCTCCAAGGACTAAGAACCATTCTTTCGTCCTCCGAAGGTACTTAAGGATGTTCTTCACCGCAATCCAATGTGCTTTGCCAGGGTTCCCTTGATATCTGCTAACCATGCTCAAAGCGAAGGCTACATCAGGGCGAGTACAAGTCATAGCGTACATGATTGAGCCAACTGCGGAAGCGTATGGTACTCGGCTCATTTCTGCTATCTCAGCTTCGGTACTCGGACTTTGAGTCTTACTCAACTTGGCATTTCCTTGTATCGGTAGTTCTCCCTTCTTTGAGTTTTCCATACTAAAACGTTTTAGTACCTTCTCCAAGTAAGTATTCTGACTAAGTCCAATTAGTCTCTTACTTCTTTCTCTTACTATCCTTATTCCCAAAATGTAAGAAGCCTCTCCGAGGTCCTTCATAGCGAAGCACTTCCCGAGCCAGGACTTAACCTCCTGCAGAGTCGGGATGTCGTTTCCTATGAGTAATATGTCATCGACATATAGAACGAGGAAGCTTACTATACTCCCACTGGCTTTGACATATACACAAGATTCGTCTTCGCTTCGTACAAATCCAAACTCTTTGACTTTCTCATCGAAGCAAAGATTCCATCTGCGAGACGCTTGCTTAAGTCCATAAATGGACTTCTCAAGCTTACACACTCTATTCGGATGCTTCGGATCCACAAACCCCTCTGGCTGAGCCATGTAAACATCCTCAGCCAACTTTCCGTTAAGGAAAGCGGTCTTGACATCCATTTGCCAAATCTCATAATCATGAAATGCGGCAATTGCTAGCATCACTCTAATAGATTTAATCTTCGCAACTGGTGAGAAGGTCTCATCATAGTCAACTCCGGGAGTTTGAGTAAAGCCCTTCGCAACCAATCGCGCTTTATATGTGTGTACGTTCCCATCCACGTCGGTCTTCTTCTTGAAGATCCACTTGCACCCTACGGTCTTACGTTCGGGCACGTAATCAACCAAATTCCAAACTTGGTTATCGTACATGGATTGGATCTCGCTATCCATCGCCTCTTTCCATTTCGCAGACTCCGGGCCTGCCATGGCTTCCTTATAGCTATTAGGTTCATCAAGATTTACTAGTGTACCATCACTAATATACGTGTCCCCTTCGGTAGTAATATGAAAACCATAAAACTGGGGATGAACTCTAACTCTATCGGAACGTCTAAGAGGTAAGGATTCGTCAATCGGTTCAACCGGAGTTTCCTCCTCGGGTTGAATGCCAGCGGTAGAGGTTCCTTCATCTATCGATTCTTGAATCTCTTCAAGTTCGATTTGCCTCCCACTGTCTCCTTGGCTTATGAGTTCTCGCTCTCGGAAAACTCCTCTCCTCGCAACAAAGATAACATTATCTTTCGGTCTATAGAAGAGATATCCAAAGGAAGTTTGCGGGTAGCCGATGAAAATACATCGCTCACTTCGAGGTTCAAGCTTGTCGTGAGTATCTCGTCTTACGAAAGCCTCGCAACCCCAAACCTTGATATGTGCCAACGAGGGAGCTTTCCCTGTCCACATCTCG